AGGGGAGGGGATGAGGATTGGGGGGGGGAAGCCCTGACCGAATGGCTCAGGTTGGAGCCAAGGAGAACTCTGCGCATGCTCAGGGTCAGTCTCTCGCTTTCCAGACTACAGTTCCCAGCATCCCCCTGCCATCAAGGCCAACGGCAGAGCTTGGCAAAGTTGCTGTGCGCGTGTTTGTGGGGAGACTACAGCTCCTATCATCCCCCGGGGATGAGGATTGGGGGGGGGAAGCCCTGACCGAATGGCTCAGGTTGGAGCCAAGGAGAACTCTGCGCATGCTCAGGGTCAGTCTCTCGCTTTCCAGACTACAGTTCCCAGCATCCCCCTGCCATCAAGGCCAACGGCAGAGCTTGGCAAAGTTGCTGTGCGCGTGTTTGTGGGGAGACTACAGCTCCTATCATCCCCCTGCCAGCCCAGTCAGGCTAGCCTGGAGGAGGAATTATGGGAGTGGTAGTCCCGGGCAGGCACAGTTCCACTCGCAACCGTTGAAGCCTGGCCGGAAGTTCGGCCTTTCCTCCCCCGGGGCCGAGGGAGGTGACGTCACTCCGCGCAAAGGCCGACCCGCCACACATACACCATGACGTCACCAGGGGCACTTCCGGGCGCCCTTTGATGTCACCACCACCGACAGCCCCGCCCCGCTCGCGCGCCTCCCCAATACCTGGCTGGGTGGGAGCAACCACCGCGTGGGGCGCGTCCACCGCCAGGAGCTGCGCGCGCCCCCGCAGGAGTTTCCGCAAGGCGCCAGTGCGCGCCCGGAAGCTGTCCGCGTTCTGCCGGTAACCATGGAGACAGAGGAGCCGCAGCCCCTCGCTGCCGCTGGCCGACATGCCTCATCCGGGTGTTTCTCCCTCCCGCCGGAAGAGTCTGCAAAAACACCCGGAAGTGCCATGGGCGACCGCCCAGCTTACTCCCGAACTCTACAGCCCGGAGGCCGGAAGTGCCCCTTCCCATCAGCCACAGAGATACATTTTCCCCGCCATAGCTGTATGAAAAAGTAGAGCGGCTCATCTCTGTCTCCGGAAAGGAGCTTCCGAGTTCGCTTCTCCTTTCCTCTCCCACCCACTTCCAGTGCATCCCATTATCTCCCTTTGGCCAGCTGGGAAACCCCAAGACAGTCATTTGGGGCGTTTGTGTTCCTTTCCCCCCCCGGAGACGAATACGAACACCCTGCTTGCATTAAACTCACAAGAGCAACAAGGACTGAACCCCCCCCCCAGAGTCACGAAACAGCTGCCAGAGGGTCCAGACTCCTGGCTTTGGACACAAGATTTAATGACTGTGTGTGTGTGTGTGTGTAAAAAAAACACACCCCAACATTTTGTTTTGCAATACAGAAAACATTTCCATCACAAGAACTTGCAAATATTTATTTCGCTCTTCATGGCTCCACTTCCCTTTTGAAAGAACAGGAATCGCAACCGCCAGCAGAAGCCGGCACCCTCTGCGGAGACCTTCTGGGTCCTCTCCCATCTTTTTTTTTTTAAATAATCAGAAATGATTTTTTTACCTCCTTTTTCTCCGAATGGTTTGAGAAGTTAGCCAGGTGGAGGGGCTTCTCTTTCAGGCCGGAGGGGGGGGCGCGTTACAGCCCGGCCAACCAACACCCCCCCACACACACACATAACCAGCTCCCAAGGCCACCGGTTGGGGAATCTCCCCCCCCAGGACTGCAGTCCCAGAGGGAGGCGCCGATGCAGGAGGCGGCTTTCAGAGGCACACAGCAGAGGATGGCCTGGCCCGCTGGCATGGATCTGTCCGTCCCCCTCCTTCCACCGGCAACTTCTTGCCAGCCTGGCTGTACCAAAGCAGGACTCCGAAACAATGCAAGCCTGGCAGCGTGCGTGCGTAGTGGTGACGATGGCGGAGGTGCAGCTGCCCCTTCACAGATGTCCCTTCCTGCCAGGGCTGGTGCCCAAAGCTGAGGTCCTCCCCGGTTCTTCGTGCCTGCTTCTGAGGCAAGGTGCGGTCGGGAGTCCAAACGCACCGGGTGCTGCTCCGAAACTCACGGCTGCTGGAAGGCTCCCTCCGGGCAGGGACAACCCCCGCAGGCTTTCTCCCCAGTTGGCAGCCTCGACTCGGCCGCCTTAGCCTGCAGTTGGAAAACACAGACACAGTCAAACTCCCGCGCTGAACCACCCACGCTCACCCCTCCGTCTTCGGGTGCCCTTACGAGCTTGCTCTGGTGATCTCCCCTTCAGCCAGAGGGGATCCAAGCAGGAGGGGCTGGCGCCGCCCCTGCCCATCAAGCGCCGAGCAATCATCATCCACCCCCAGTAGCATCAAGGCCGTGGCTCAGCTCCTAAGGTTAGTAGGGCACAGCCGTCCCTTGTGGCTATTGTGGGTCATTTAAAAGAACCAAGCCAGAGAGATGCCGGCCGTGCTGTGCAGCCCATCTGCTTGAGGAGCACAGCCGCCTCCCGAATTTCTCCCGTCCTGGGCTCCAGTCGCTGGGCAACACATGCAATATTCTAGCACCAGAGGCTCCTTCGTCCCTATCCCTTAAACCCCATCAATGGCTCTATCAAAGAACTCACCCACACCCACCATGACTGGGAGGGGGGGGGAGAAACGTTTGTCCAAGGGGACCTTTCTGAGTTTACAGGCCATCCTGTAGCTGCAATTAAATCTTTTCAAATTCTTTACACCGCCCCGCAGGAGGGCAGAGGAGATGGAAGCATCGTTTGGGGAAGTCTGCTGTCCTGTCTAGACTGCTTCTCCAAGCCTCTCTCTCTCACACATACACACACCCACAATTGCTACTGGTCCAGCGATGAAGTCTTCCCCTTCTGCCACAGAGCTTCAAGCGTTAATGAATTAATCCATACGCAATTAAAGCCGTGAAACAGCATGTCCCTGAATGGCCTCCAACGGGCCTTGCAGGTTGGAGACAAAAGCATGGCCTGTGAATTGTCTCCACACAGAGATTCCTCCTTCTTCCTCTTCCTCCTTTTAACCAACAGAAGGACAAGGACCCTTTCCTCTTGAGGAGGCCTGGGGATGCCTTAATCCAACCCATAATGGCAGCAGGCATGATCAGTGACGGGGAATTAAAACCTTCTGTGATCAAAACGGCTCGATGCATGCTTGCTTTTGAGAGAATTCCCCCCTTCCCCCCCTCCACTATAACATGAAATATCATTTATAATTAGTCATTTATTACTCAGGATGAGACATGGCTTATGGAGACGGCCTGTTTTCTCACGCTTCTCCCCAATAGGCCCAAAAGATCATCTGCTCAGGCTTTGTTGACAAGCAAAATTACATAAACAACGGTAAGAGCCTTTAAAAATATTATTAATGCTAGTTCTGAGCGTGATGGTGGCACTGGCGTATTATGTAATTGTATTTTATTGTGGTGTTACGTTTATCTTGTTTAGGTTGGAAGTTTGTTTGATAATTAAAAAAAATAACAAAAATACTGTTAAGATCCTGATGATAAATCAGCGAGAAATCAGCTCAAAAGCTGTAACAGTGTGTATGTGTGCATTTAATGCATCAACGGACCATTTGGCAGCCGGTGGAGGGAAGACGGGTATTCATTAAGGTTCAATTGGGAAACAAACGAGAAGAATTTTGTGGCATGGAATCCACTTGGCGTTAACGGGAAAGCTCGGGAGAAAAATCCCCGTGATTCAGGGGCACGAGGGTGCCCGGACAACCAAGCAGGAGTTCTACTGAGTTTCATCACTTGAACTCGCCACTGGAGGGAGACTCTGCCCTAAAAATAAAACCTCAAAAGCTGAGACTAAATATATATATATATAGAGAGAGAGAGAGAGAGAGAGAGATTTGGAAGAAATTCACTCCACTGCGGGCTTCTCATGGATCTGATTAGTTCTGCACCTCCCGTGCTGAGTACATTACTGGATGCAACGCTTGGCTGGAAATCTGTACATTTCTGGACTCAGGATGCATTTCGGGACAGGGCGGGAGACTAAGCACGTCCAACCACATCGGTGCGGTTGAAAACTGCCAATAAAATACTGTGCACATTTCTAAAATATGCATTGACCGGGTTTTGTCTGTGGAGGCATATTGAAATAACTGCGCCTCGGGAGGGAACATGCAAAATGCACCTATAACTGGTCCCGTTCACGGGTGTGTGGGCCTAAACACAGGCCTGGAGGAAGAAAAAAAGGAATATTCTGCAGACGTGTTCGTGACGTGTCTACAACACCTGACTGGAGAGCGAGATGGGAGGACGGCCCCGTCCAAACCCTGCTGGGGCCGTCCAAATCTCCGTGATCAGAGACAGTGAAAGGGCTCCTTTCGTGACGTGTCTACAACACCTGACTGGAGAGCGAGATGGGAGGACGGCCCCGTCCAAACCCGTGATCAGAGACAGTGAGAGGGCCAGGGCTCCTGGGCTCAAGCTCCTGTCATCTCCAATTAAAAGAGGGGGTTTTAAATGGCAGAGGCGGTATGGCTCAGTCGGTTGGAGATCCTGGCTGCAGGGCCAGCGGCCAAGAGTTCAAATCCCCACAGAGGGGCCAGCTAAAAACACCCAGAGCACAGCACAGGGTGGGGTGGGTGTTGGCAGGGGGGGAGGGACACGCTGTGGGGCTTATGTGCCCGGATAGCCTTGGGTAGCTGGCAGGGTGTGTGTCTCCCCCCCCCCGGCCCCACCCGAAGCAGGGACTGAGTGGAAACCGCCTCTGAACACTTTATACCACTTAAAGCCCTTGGAATCAACTTGGCAGCATGTAATTGCTGTTATTAATTAAGACAGCCTCTTGAGGAAGAGCTTGCACAGGGTGGGGGGGGTTGCAAAGCAGAGCACGGAGCACCAGACCTTGCAGCCCCCCCCCCGGCCGGAGCCCTCGTTGCTGATGGAGCACAAGGAGGAGGGGCTGAAAGGGCGAGTCTGGAGGTCCCGGTTTCGGATCTCCTCACTGCCATCACTTACTGACCTTAGATGAGGGCAGGGAACCGCTGGTTCGCTGGGCGTTTTGGATTGCAACCCCCATCAGCCCCACGTTGGGAGAGGAGGCAGGCGCTAGGGCAAAGGGACCCCCCACTCCCGCCTTGCAGGGCCAAAGGTCAGAGCTCCAGAACGCAGGTGGGGAGTTGCAAATGCTCTCCAGCTCAAGAGGCAGAGGACACTGGCTGGCGTAGAAGTCCATGGGGTAGATCTCTTGCCACGGGATCTGCTGCAGCGCCACAGCCGCCTGGTGGGGAGGACGGGAGGCGGGAAGTGGGGCGGGGAGGCGCCATGGGTCTCCGTTTCCGGTCCCCGGCCTGCAAGCCAGGGAATCCCCTGCCCCCCTCCAAGAAAGACACCCCCCACCCCGCCAAAGGGGCAACACTCACCTCGTAGGGCGTCAGCAGAGGCTTCCCGAAGGCCTCTCCCCAGTCGATGGAGAGCCGAGGACAGGCCACCTGGACCCACCTGCAGGCGACGGGGGGGGGGGAGAGAGAGCAGCAGCGCTCAGCGGGCGGAGCATTTGCTTTAGACAGCAAAGTCTTGGGGGTGTGTGGAAAGGACAGAGGGAGGGGAAGGGGTCCCCTCCACGCTGCAGGCTGGGCGGGGAGGGGAGGGCTACTCACGCCTGGACATCAGGGAAAAGTTGCAATTTGCTCGGGAAAATCTCCGAGAGCAGAAGCCGGACGATGATAAATATGCAGCTGAAGCGCCTCAACTATTAAGGACAATTCTTTCCTTTCCACCACCCCCTCAATCTCGCATAACCAGAGAGCTAAACATGCTGCTGGTGTAAATAGGCAGTCCCCCCTGCCCCCCCACACAAAAGGGGCCTGACCAGGGGCCCCCTCCCTCCAGGCCGAAAGGTGTTCTTGTATTTGCAAAAAAGGGGGAGTGAACACAGAGACACTCAAAAAGGAGGACTGGGCCCCATGGATGGACGTGGGGAGAGCCCAAGAGACCAGGGCTCCTTCGCCCTTCCCCCCTGCCATAATGGGGGGGGTTCTGTCACCTGCCCCTCCCTCCCCCACATCCTCAGCCCGAGTGGTCCTGAAGCGTTCCAGCCGCGTTTGCTCATTCCAGCCGGGCCGGGCCTTTCCTTGGCCTTTTCCTCGTTAGCGGGCAGCCGGTTAACAAACGAGAGTGATGGGCACTGGATGTGCTTCAATGCACCCGTCATTCACTCGCTCCCTCACTCGCTCCCCCTCCCCCTCGCCCCTGCCCCCCCCACCTTGCAGCCTTTGAAACCTGTGGAGCAAAGCTCCCGCACGGCCCTTCCCTTGCACGCGAGGAGAGAAGGGAAGGGGATCAGGGCCGCTCACCTCCAGGATGGCCGGAGACCCCTGGCGCCCCAAAGTGCCCAGGATCAGGCCCCATTTGGAGGCGCGCGCCGCCTGGCGGATGGCCTCCTTCCGAGACGCCTGCATGCGTGCGTGGGCGTACTCCT